AGCCCCTGGCGGGCCGGGCCGGTTTGTTTACCTGACGCATCTGCAGGTTTGGCCAATCGTGGCTCCCATTGGCCGCGGTTTGCTGCTCCAGACCAATGGGGGCTGCGGGAAGGGCGGCCAGCACATCCCTCGGCCCGCGCCGCTTCCCGTAGCCCCCAGTGGCCTGGAGCGGCGAACTGCGGCCAGTGGGAGCCGTGATCAGCCGAACCTGCGGAAGCGGCAGCTAAACAAACCGGCCCAGCCCACCAGGGGCTTTCCCTGAACAAGTGGCTTCCCCTAGTTTGAGAACCACTGCAGTTTGAACAAACTAGAGAAATGTGGAAGGGCAAAGATTCTTGCACCTTAATACATCTTTATATGCACTACAGTTTAATATTGTAGCTATTGTTTTCTGTTAGAAAACTGGCAAAGATGGAATGCATTTGGATGCAAATACAACGTGTTCTAACAAAGTTCTTGAAACCCTAATCTGTGCTTGTAACTCTATATTAAAGAGAGTAATTAGGATGGGAAATGATACAAACAAATTCAAATTATAGAAGGTGGACGTCTTGTGGGATGCTGCATGGTCCAATGGTTTTAGACAGTGATAGGGTATCAGGATTCCTTGACTGTCTTCCAAAGTTTGATCACTGGCTGTGTGATGCTGGGCAAGTCACTTAATCCCTCTGTGCTTCTATTATACCCTTTTTTGAAACGTGTTAAAAACGTACCTAGATCACAGAAGCATTTTGTGGCTTAATTAACATGAGAACAGAAATGGGTAATGACTGTGGTTTCCTATGCCTCCATTTGCATTTGTTCATTTCTGGGGAAGAGTTGGTGGTGACCTTGCAAGAGGCTGTAGGTCTGCCTCCTTGAATTCAGGGGAAAAGTTGCTATTGTGGGAACTAGTGAGAAGGATTGAAATGTTGGAAGCTGGGGTAAGAGAGTCAATTCCGAATAATGAGGTGGCAGAATGTTCTGATGCTTGGTTGGTTTTGGGAGGAGGAGGAAGAGGGGGTAAGGAGAAGGGAGGGAGAAATACAGTTTGCACAAATAAATGGATAAATACAGCAGACATAGATTCTAAAGTGAGAAGGGGCTCATCAAGTCAGCCCCCCTGCATATCAGAGGCCATGGAACCTCCCTAAAGTAATTCCTGTTTGAACTGGGCAATGTGCATCTCTGGTGCAACTTCAGTGATTATGCTAGAGTTGAATTTGGCCCTTAAGGCTCAATCCTGCTCCTGCTGAAGTCAGGAGGAGTTTAATGGGAGTTGGATCAGACCCTTAAGGATGGATGAATGTGGCCCAGTAGCTCTACAATTAAACTAAATTCCAGAGCATCCATACACTTTAATCTCTCCCCCCTACATCACCGGTGACAACTTCACCAAGACTGTTTGGAGCTGTCTGTAGGTATGTCTACACTGCAGTCACAGTGTGCTTGCAGCACGTGTAGACAAACCCCAACTAGTTTTAATGTAGCTAGCAGTCAGGCCTCGGCAGTATGTGCGTGAGCACAGGCTGTGCAAGCCCATCTCAGAACCCCGATAATTACTTGTGCACGCTGAAGTCTGTGCTGCTATGGCTTTGCTGCTATCACACCCTGTGGTGGCAACATACCCTTTGATTCCTCTCTCTCTCTCTCTCTAGCTCTTGCTAAGCCCTGTTCCTTCTTCCTCTATCATATCTATGCAATCCTTTCCTTCCTCTTGATCTCCATCCCTAATTCCCTGGGCCTTTCCTGAATTAATCCCCTCTTGACTACTACAACCTCCTTCTCTTTGGCTTCCGATATGTCTCTCCTCTCCCTTTTAGTCTTAAGGTTGTCGCTGTCTTTCATTGCCCCCCTGGTTACATCCTCTCCCTAACCAGTGATGCCACTTTGGGGGCTGTGAGCCCCCAAAGGAGAGGCGGTTGTAGGTGCCCACCGTTGCTGGAAGTTGTCACTCTCGGGATACTTTTCACCACCACAGGCTGCATGAATCTAGCCCAGTGTTTGTTCAACACTCACAACGTGAGGAGTGGTCTATGAGTGCCAAAAGCTATCATTCAGCGAGGTTCGTCCCATTTTGTCCTTCGAATGACAACAACCATTAAAGAAATACGGTGTTAATCATAGTGAGTAGAACTCTTAAGTTCCCAGGAAACATTCAAGGGGCAGTAAATTCACATCCAGGTTCTGGTACAACTTCTGTGCCCAGAGTCTTGCCAGTAAATGGAGGAGGAAACACATTAAAATTTTTACGGCAGCTGAAACCCAGGCATTTCCTAGAGCAGTGCCTACTGAAAAGGAACATAAAGGCCGGGCCTTCATTTGTTTCATTGTTTTAGAACGGCAATGAACTTGAGTTCAAAATGGAAACTTTCTTTAGTTTTACAGCACCATGGATGTACACAGTAGGTAAAACGAGCTGCCTGGATAAGCGATCCCTTCCTTGAAGCACTTGCAGGCTAAAGACAAGAGACTGCTGTGATACACAACCAAACGCATGCAGAGCACAGGGTCGTTTATATGCGTCAAAAGCATCCAAGAACAGGCCCCGAGGAGTTCTTTGGAGGAACAGGAGGGTGCTTGGGGGCAATCCTATGAGCGAGAGGCTGAGCACCCTCATTGCCTACAGAAGTCAATGGGAATTGAAGGTTCTCAGCAGCTAGCTGACTCAGGACATGTGTGATCATTGACTAAGCTGTTCTAAGCATTAGGGTTGGCGTGAAAGTAGGGTGACCAGATGTCCCAATAAAATTGGAACTGTCCCAATATTTAGTTGTTTGTTCCGTGTCCCGACCGATGTACGGTCGGGACGCCATTTGTCCCGATATTTTGCTTCGGTGGCACTCTGGCTTTTTTTTTTTTTTTTTGCTTGGGGCGTCAAAAAACCTAGAGCCGGCCCTGGTGGGGGCATGAGCCTGTGGCTGCCCCCCCACGTGTCCCGTTTTTTGTTCTTGTCATCTGGTCACCCTAAGTGAAAGAATAATTTCATTCATTAAATGACTACAAGTATTCAGGCGTAATGAAATCACTGCATAGGTCTTTACAAATCCTGTTGCCCTGCTTGGTTCTTTATTGCTCAGGCCGTTAGATACAATGTGTGTGAGCCCCAGAATACAGTGCATTGGTTCCACGGTGCACTGAAAAGCTATTATCTAAGCCCAGAAGCACTGAGCAGAAGTCAGTGAGGTTACCCTGTTTGTAGAAACGCACAAGTCAGATCAGAATCTGGGCCCATTGTTTAGTGAAAGATCTCTGGAACACCATGCTATCCTGTGCTTAGAAAGTCACTTCTGCATGTAGGCAAAATTCACAACATACCCTTTGTAGCAATCCCAATAATCTATTCCTAACTTCCTGTTATAGTTTCCTTATTACTTACTATGAACTACAAAAGTCTTTCTGTGTAAATAGAAGCATTCTCTTTCCGAATCACCATCCTCCTGCGCTTCTCGGATTCATTTATCCATTCATGCAATTATTCATTCAGTTCTTTCACATCCAAGGGACCAATTGTGAGGTCACAAATGCTTGACTGTGTCATCAGATCTATGAATCATGAAGGAAGAGCCTGGCTATGAAAAGGAAAAGCTTCTGTTTATTCACAGACACCTAGATAACCAGCAATCCTGGGAAATGAAAAGTCAGAGAAAGTTCATGGCAGTTTAATGAGGTTGTGATCAAATATTAACATTTTAAGAGCTTGCTGGAGCATGGTTGTGGTTTGTTCAGGCTGCTAGTGACTTGTCTTTTTATGGAGTGCCATGTGGCTGGCAGAATAATCTACTGCTTGAAGGAAAACATATCCTGGTTCTTTTTATTTGATAAAAATATGATAATACAGCTGTATGACCTTAGGCTGTTATCTTGTCAGATAAGCAATTGGCTGTGAGACCTATAGGGCAAACCAAGGTGCTGCAGGAAATATTTTTTGATTAGCCGTACCGTAGAAATTGCCATTCTGAACCAGAACCAATGTTCATCTAGTGTAGTATCCTGTCTCTGACCAGTACCAGATACTTCAGAAGAAGATATAAGAGATATACATTAAAGGCGGGGGTTTTTTCCCCCACTCTTGGAAGTTAGTGGTTGGCTTGTACCCTCAAACATATATATCCTTTATACATTTTCTCCTATCTGATGTAACTGTGGATGTTCATATTATTCACGTACACACCTGATCCTGTTTTGAATCCTCTTACGCTCTTTCCTTCAGTAATCTCTTGTAGCAGTTTGTTCTAAGGATTAGTTTTACATTGTGTAAAAACTCATTAGCTAGTCTTCTTCTCCATCTGAATCAGGATTGAACAAATGGTGCTGGGGCACACTGGGCTGCTGAATGTGCCATCTCATCTTTCAAGGGAGATTTACAGCTCTGGTCCTGACCTCTGGTGATCCTTTCAGATCCCATGGCACTTTTAACAATAATTGGGAAGTTATTCCAAGTATCTTGGCCAAGGATCACTAAGCAAGCGCTTATGAACATTTATGAACAAGGCCTCCTAAAATCTCAGAGAGTGAAGTATTATTATAGGTGGGAAATTTAGGCAGAAGATACTAAGTGACTTACCTGAAGTCACATGTTAAGTCAGTGGCAAAACTAGGAACAGAATTTTGGAGGTTCTAGGTTACAGACCTGTGCTTATACTACGTTGATTGTAAGCCCCTTGGGCAAGGACTTTTCTGTTTCTTCTGTGTTTGTAAAGCTCCTAGCACAACAGGGTCCCAGTCCATGCCTAAGCTTTTAGGTGCTGTTGTAATACTAATAATAATAATAATTAATAAAAATAGACCATGATTCTTTATTAAAACTGTCCATTTACTCAGTAAGCTTTGGCGACAGGAATGTGCCATGAATGTTAACATATGCATAGTTTATAAAGCAAATGAAAGATGCTATATATGTGTAAAATGTTGTTCTTGATAACACAGATGAGTATAGCAGCTTTTATAGACCTACGTCCACACCTGAAGTACAGGTACAGAAAGGATATATTTTGAGACCAATCTTTTCCTTCTTTCAGGGGTGCGTTTTCTGAAGTAGTTCTGGCCAAAGAGAGAGCTAGTGGAAAACTATTTGCAGTCAAGTGCATCCCCAAGAAAGCACTGAAGGGGAAGGAAAGCAGCATAGAGAATGAAATCGCAGTCCTGAGAAAGTAAGTATTGAATACCTGTATCTCCTTCTACAGTTTGAATGGGCGCGTTTGTCCACTCTGCGGAGCAGGAAGGGCTGTGGTCAGTGAACAAGAATTGTGATTTGTAAATGTGACTGAGTTGCTCAGCTTATTGCAGGTGGTTGGGAACATCTGGGCATAAACTGTACTGTAAATGTTTTCAGAAATTATCTGTTCTCCTTGTGCATTAATTAATGCATAGTGGTGGGGTGGGGGGGAACGGGTCTGGGGAGCGTAAGATCCCTTAAATGAGGCCTGATCCTGCTTCCACTGAAATCAATGGTGATTTGGCCATTGACTTCAGCGGGTGCAGGAGCAGGCTCATAGATTAACTGCTCTAAAGCAATTTTAAGCCAACCCTGACTCCATGGGATGCAGACTGTTTTAGCTGGTGGCAGCACCTTGTATCACTGAGATTAAACCTTCCCGTCTCTGTTATTGACTTCTCAGTACAGTTCCATTGTAGCTCATTTGTGCATCTCCTATAGTTGCCTCTCTTCATTTACTGCAACATTTGACTGCTAAATTCAATTCAGTGTGTCCTATTTTAACATTTCTCATGATAAAGCAGGATCGCTGGGAAATAGATATAACCTTTTAGGGCCCAAGCCTTGCATTTTTCACACACACCCCAAACTCCTACTGACTCTGACGGGAGGTTTCGGTGTGCAAAGACTGCAGGATCAGGCCCCAAGTCTTGATCATTTGTAAAGTACACATGGATAATCATTTCAGCAGTGTGCAACAAAACCAATCCCAAAGCTTCAAATCAAAACTGCCATAACCATGCTAAAGACAGAGACAGTGAGAGCTGAAAGATTGGGGCAAAAGGGAAAACTCAGTCACTCTCAGGCAAACCATCCCAGTAGATGAATGGGATCCATTCCTGTGGAGTGAAGTCGATGGAGCTCCATGAGGGTCTCAGGGGTCTGCCCCAGTTGCAAGATCAAGGCTTAAATTAGACCCCCTACAACAAAAACACATATGATTCAGGCACAAGAGTGGGAGGGGGCTGCCCCAAAGAGGAGATTGGCAAGGGAAGGTTGAGAGAAAGAAGTGTGTTTTAAGGAACGAGTTGAAGGAGGAAGAACAGGTTGTTGGCATAACCCACAGGTCTCAAACCTGGGCCCGCAGGGTTCATGGGAGCAGCCATACTCTAGTCCTCTACCTGGTAGTATGCTGACAATAGCTTACCTGGGACCCATGAAACCCAGCCCCAGTGTGAGGCTCTGCCTCTAAGGTCCAGTTGGCAGAGTGGCTGTTTGGCCCCCTGGCCCTGCCTAAGCCAGCAGTAGGATCAGGAAGCTGTCTGAACAACTAGGCTCTGCCCTGCTCTGGACTCTGTGCCTTGTGCTACCTGCTTCTGCTTCTCCTGCTTGATTTCCTGGTATCTCAACCCATCTTGACTCCTGGCATATAACTTGTGGTTCCCAATCTCCAGTTTGTCTCCTGCTGCTTACCCCGGGTATCCTGACCCGGCCTGATTCTGGTTCGTGCCTCGTGGTTCTGATCTCATCTGTCCTCTGCTTATGACCTCCTGGTCTCCTCACCCAGCTGACTCCTGTCTTGTGATGGTGGACTCTGGCTCTGACTATTAGGTCTGACTGCCCACGACCTGGCTGTGACAGTTGTGTATTGTTGCCGAGCAACAAAGCTCATCTGCAGTTTAGTGGCCACATCCAGGCAAGAGGGGCCAGCAGGACCATCGGGCAGCCTGGAGTAAATGTTGCTCCGATGGAACCATCCAACAATGTTTACATCTTGGTACAAGACTGGTAGTTTTTCCTAGAGTAACGATGGCTTCGCATAAACCTTGGCCCCAGGGATGCAGAGCAGAGAAATCTTTTGGGGTCAGTTCTTGCTTCTGTTTTGTGAAGTATTGCTCCTATTTTCTGACAAAGCATTTCTTGAGAGAAGAGGGGGCAACAGCACAGGCTACACCATGCGAACTGCAGTGGCAAAGTAGCGTGTGGGTGAAACATGCCTTACTTGTCATACAGTTAGATCCACTTGGTGTGCTGCCCACCCAATGGCGGATTTAGAGTTTGTGGGGCCCTGGGCTCAGCTTCATTTTTGGGGCCCCTCCTTGGGACTCAACCAAGAAAAAGAACATTCTCTCTTATCTCCCCCCGCCCCCGTTTTTTCGTTCTTTTTCTCTTTATCCTCCTCCTATAAGTAATAGGAAGTAAATGAAAATAAAGTGAGGTACCTTGATTGTTTTTCTAGTCTAACTTATATTTCTACAGACCACTTGAAAATTGCTGAGGGTCTCAGCGGACCACTTAATGATCTTTCCAAATATTGTTTGTACCGTTAGCTAACTATTGTAAAGCTCTTTGAATAAGAGCACTTTTATTAAAAAAAAAAAAAAAATTGTTAAAAAGCATTGGGGTGTGGGGTCTGGCCAGGATGTATGGTGTGGGACGGGGCTCAGGGCTGGGGGTGCAGCGTCTGGGAGAAAGTTAGGGTGCAGGAGCAGGCTGGGGGTTGGGGTGCAGGGTCTGGCCAGGAGTTAGGGTACGGGAGGGGGCTCAGGGTTGGGGCAGGAGGTTGGGGTGTGGAGTGCTTACCAGGAGCAGCTCCCATTTGGTGCGAGGGGTGCAGGTGGGAACATGGGTGTGTGTGTGCAGGAGCTCCCGTTTGGTGCTCAGGGTAGGGGTGCGGATGTAGGGGGTTGGTGCAGGAGTCAGGGAGGGCAGGGGGCTGGAGGTATGTGAGGGGGGTGCAGGAGTCAGGGCAGGGGGCTGGGGTTGTGGGCTGGGGTTATGGGGGTGCTCCCAGCCCCCTGCCCCACCCCAGCCCCCTACCCTGAGCAGCTCACGGCAGAGGGCTGGGGGGGCTATGTGTAGAGGGAGTGTGGGGGCCCCACCTTTGCTCCGCCCTGCCCCGATTCCCCCCCCCCTTCCCCAAGGCCGCACCCCCACCTCTTCTCCGCCTCCTCCCCTGAGCGCGCTGTGGTCCTGCTCCTCCCCCTCAATCCCGGAACGACCTGAGCGCTGGCAAACAGCTGTCTGGCAGTGGAGGAAGCGCTGGGAGGGACAGGGAGGGGCGGGAACACAGCACGCTCGTGGAGGAGGCAGGGAAGGGGTGGGGGAGGGAGGAGCTTGGCTGCCGGTGTGTGCGGAGCCTGCAGCAGAAGCCCCAGGAGCCAGCAGGACCAAGCTTCTGCCCCCACAGCTGCCCGGCCCTGGAGCCCCCTGTCGTTGGGGGGCCCTGTGCCAGGGCACCCTGTATTTCACTGTAAATCCACCTCTGTGCCCACTGCACATTAGGAGTTTGCTGCAATGAGAAAGACTTGTTCATTTTTATCTCGTAATGTCTCCTACTTAGTTGTTGCTAATACAACCTTAGGTGGTCTCTGTATTTACTCTGAAAATAGATTCACTTTGTTAATGATCCCAGTATTGAATTTGTGTGTGGCACCAGGGAAACACTGAATTTAAAACAAAAAAAACCCCACCTTTCTGTTCACAATTGAGGAGGGAGTGGGAAATCAGCCTATTTCACTGCTCAAACAGACACTCCAAATGAATTCTCTCTTTGATAGGCAGATATTAGACATAGCTTTAAACATGGTTGGGTGGATCCTGAGCTGTGGTTGCTAGGCTGCCAAGGTATCTCTAATTGTCCTGTTTTTGTTTCTGGTGAGCTTAATGTCCAGGGTAACGTTTAGTGTGTATGTTGTCTAATTACTGGTTGGAGTGCCAGAGCCTTGGGCTGATTTACAAGACGGTAAGGATTGGTGGTAGCCCTGTCTGATCCCGAGAATGGTGCATGACTGTAGGAGGTGATAGAGATTCACCCCCATTCCATGAGAGAGAAGGCTAGAGGTACTAGGAGTAGATGCAGAGATCACATACTAATAGATTCTACGGCCAGAAGGGACCACTGTGCTCATCTAGTCTGACCTCCTGCATAACACTGGCCATGGAACTTCCTCAAAATAATTCCTGTTTGAACTAGAGCTTATCTTTCAGAAAAAGCATCTCATGTGAATATGCAGACCTCTTTGGATCCCAGTCCTTCCCTTTGTCCTTGCACTGTCCCCATGGAGGTTGCTAATGCCATTAGCTCTCACAGGAGAAGAGAAAGGACCACTCTAATTGTGACACAAACATAATATTTGTGACCTCTTTGGGGAAGAGTCTCTGGCCAGGAGTTCTGTCTTCCCCCTCCCTCTGCCCAATCTGCAAAGGATGACAGTCTGTTACAGCCCCAGCTAGAGAGTGTTACCTCAAGCTGTGACAGCCCATTCTTTTAGCTGTGGAGGTCCCCAGTGCAATCCCTGGTGGCTTGACCAAGAGTAGCATCCATCACATAAGGAAACCACCCAAACTAGTGACAGAGGCATGGGGGGTTCACCTGAGAGCTAGGAGATGACACTGAGGAGGCACTCAGCACTCACAGTACTGCCCTGACTCCATGATGGGGGTTGGTTCCTCACAACTGATAGGCAACCACAGGAAACCTGAGAGGGGCAGTGTGCAACAGTACTCTTCGCTGGATGACAGCTGCCAGGAGACAAGGCCCCATGAAGATGAACAACCCAACCCCGACCCAGTCAAATGTAGGAGGGAGAAGACAGAACTCCTGGCCAGTGGGTTACACTTACCCCATTGCTCCAGAGGAGGTTTGTCTGCGCCTCCCTTCCAAGTCCATGTAGGTCTCTGCAGCTGCAGAGTCCCACCAGATCATGCAGTTCTGGCAGGCTGTATACCACTGAAGTGCCAGACTGATGATTTGGATCCTAGTGAGTATATCATATATTAAAATGGAGCGTAGTATTACCTTTCGTTGGGGATTGGTCCTGCTTTGAGCAGGGGGTTGGACTAGATGACCTCCTGAGGTCCCTTCCAACCCTGATATTCTATGATTCTATGATTCTTTCTATTTAGGATCAAGTTTACATATCATAAAACCTAATATGAGAGCAGGAAACTGGGATTCAGGACTCCTGGATCCTATTCCTGGCATGCCATTGA